AGTTTAGCAAGTGTTTTCTAGGCCTAGCTTCCACAACACAGCTTTCAGATAATCCGATGCTAGCCTGTCAAACACCTTCTCCACATGCAGGGAAAGGAAAAAGCCTTGATGATTGGAGGTAGGTAGCCAATGGTGATTATTTATTGCTTTAATCTTATTGTCCCTTGCTTCACTACCTTGGACAAATCCTACCTGGTCCTTGGCAATGAGTGAATTGATTATCGGTAGAAGCTGGTTCATGATTATTTTAGCAAAGATCTTCAGGTCCACATTAAGCAAGGAGATTGGATGATAATTAGTTACCGAGGTGGGATGCTTCTCAGCTTTTGGGCTTACCTATATATGGGCTTCAGAAAGGTTGTGCATGGTGGGGCCAGGCTTTGATAAGGTGTTGAACGCCCACAAAACGGGACACACTAGGACCTCTAAGAAAGACTTGTAGTAGATTGCTGTGTACCCGTCTGGTCCTGGACTTTTTCCAGATTTCAGTTGTGTCAATCCGATTTTAAATTCTTCGTCGGTCAGTTAGCTATCAATTTCACAGGCCTGTGTGTGTGAAATTGGTTTTGAACTGTATTGGATTAGAAAGTAATGTATGATATCTGCTCTTGACCTGTGGTCATCAGGGGGGTACTGGACTGGAGGCAAGTTATATAGGCCACAATAGACATTTTCAAATTGTCCCATGATATCTGGAGAGATCCCCATCGTTACCTCCTGAGTGGTACGGATGTGGTGGATTGTGGACGATGCCTTCTTGGCCTGCAGGACTTTGGCAAGTAGTTTGCCACTATCATTGCCCTGTTCATAGAAAAGCTTCTGCGTGAGCACACACTTGCGTTTCATTTTGTGGCCCAGCTCATCTAACAGCTTAGCCCGTGTTTGGAGCAACTCCGTATATACATGGTGGGCTTGTATACGCTTATGGGTCACTTCAAGTTTCGGCACTGTATGTAACAAAGAGGTTAGTAGAGCATGTGCAGCCTTTTTACTTGCTGCAGACATTGTAAGGAGAGTCCCGCGTAACACACACTTATGTGTTTCCCACTTTACAAGCAGAGTTGTGTCCAGAGTGTAATTTTCCCTAATAAAAGTTTTGCAAGCACTCAAGGATCTTGGAGATATTCACACTGTCTGAGGAGGGAGGAATCAAATCTCCAAGTTTTGGTATAGTGAAGTTGGGTAGCAAATTGGAGGGTCATCGCAATTGTGTGATGGTCCGACACAACATTTGCCTCAATTGTCACATTGAGCAGCAAAGGAAGGTCCTTTTGGGACAGGAATATGTAGTCTACTCTAGAATAACGCTTGTGAGGTGGGGAGAAGAAAGTATAGTCTCTTGTCTCGGGGTGAAGTGTTCAGCATGAGTAATGGAGTAGGAGGTCATGTAACTGTAGCTTGATTTGTTTAAGTGCTTGAAAAGGTATTGAGGAGGAGCCAGTTGAAGTATCCTCTAAAGGATTGAGTGCTAGATTAAAGTCCTCTCCCAGAAGGAGTAAACCAGACTAGAAAGCAGTAAGTGCATGACAGATTTTTCGAAAGAATCCAACCTGAGATGTGTTGGGGCTATAGATGTTAGTGAGAGTGATTGGTCCACTCCACAGGGTGCCCTTAATGAATAACAATCTGCCCTCCTCGTCTTCTAGAGTCATCTATGTGCAGCGGTACTCCCTTGGTTTTAGCAAGTTTGCTTGTTGCCTGCGATGCTGCTGAGTTCCTCTGTTTGGACATTTTTGGAATACAATCTGCACGGAAGTGTATTTCTTGCATGAAAAGTACATCTGCTTTGAGGCTGTGCAAGTGAGTTAGGAGTTGCAAAAGGCATTAATAGAGGCGACTTTAAGCTTGGCAGCGTCATTGTTGGATATGGAGGGGGGCATCATGAAGAGAGCGGTACAGCTATTGACAGGTTTTGGGCAGTACACATAGGTAGGGAGAGAGCCAATCAGTTGGGTAGGCACAGCGACTTCTTTGAGAGCTGAGTACAAAAATGGAAAGGGCATAGTCAAGGAGTTGGTAAGGGGGCAACAGGCAGAAAGAAAGAAAATAAAAAAGGGGGGTAATGGGGGGGGGGAGGGTAATTGAAGATGAGTTAGGTTATTATCCTGAGGTGGGGTAGACTAGCTGCCTCACCCTTGGTGAATCTCTTATCCGGAAGAGGTCAGCGCGATTCAGAGGAATCTGCTAGGTGGCGGCGTGTTAGGTACCCTGTGATGAGTGCTCACAGGGGTGTTAGAGTGTTGGTACTGAAGGGGTTGTAATACTCCTGTGGCACTTATGAGGTACAAAGCTGATGGAGGAAGGAGAGAAAGAAAAGCATATGTAGTATGTGAGGCAGAGAAAGAAATAGAGGGGTCATGTGGGGAGGAGGAGGCAAGATGGGCATGACCTGATATCGAATCATAATCATGGTGTGACAGATTATAATTTGGTGTTCAAATTCCATCTCTAAGGGCCAGTGTCCAGGATTGAGAGGCTGCAGTTTACAGGCCATAGGAGAAAAATTAAAATGAGCAAATAATATCACCCTTTGGGATGGGGAGTGGGTATATGTAAGCCGATAACCATGAATGAAAGCTAACACAATGACTGATATTGTCCCTAACCAGGCTGGGGCGTTTACAGTCTGAGGTATTTTGGAGTGAGAGGGTAGCTCTATCCAGCTAGATGAATACGTTAGGCAACTCCATAATAATATGTGAATCACTGCGTATGAAGTTGATTCTTATGTACCCCATGTATGGCATGGGAGCCTATAGGGGAAACCTTTTCCAAGGTTCACCAACAGCTCGCCAGATATGGTTGAAGCTCCACTAAACTGTATGAGAGCTGGAGCCTTAAGTCTGGGCCTCACAAAACTTCTGCTGGGGGCCAGCTATCACCTCCACAAAACTAGGGAGCATGTGCAAACATATCCTTCAGGTAACTATATGTCATGCAGTGATACTTGGGAAAGGCTGATAAGCAAGTAAATACAAGGTTTCTACAACAATATTATGTAGAGCATCCATGTCCCTGTATGGCCAAGGGGAGGAGGGAAGGAAAAAGGTGAAATTAATGTGGGGTAAAGGGGAGGGGTTAGGGGGGAGAAAGGGTGTGACCTTAGCTATGTTGAGGGTAGAGCAGACATATAAATGCTATTAGGATATAGAAAATATTCCCATAAAACAAGTCTTGAATGGGCTTAGCCCCTCTTATGACTAGTGGGGTAATCCTGAGCAGAGAAAAGAAAACCGTGGTCAGGAAGCGGGGGGTGAAATCCACACCTATGATTTTAGAAGGTAGTCTTGCTGAGTTGATAGTGTATTCACTGAAGATGGGTCATGGATGGGTTTTCTAGCATGACAATGATCCAAAAAACATACCGCCAAGGCAACATAGGAGTGGCTCAAGAAGAAGTAACTCCTAGATTGTAAGCTTTAATGAGCAGGGCCCTCTGTTTCCTCTTGTACCAAATTGTATTGTAACTGCACACACTGTTGTCGCTATATATATCCTGTATAATAATAATAATAATAATAATAATAATAATAATTAAGGTCATGGAGTAGCCTAGTCAGTCTCCAGATCTTAATCCTATAGAAAATTTATGGAGGTAGCTGAAACTTCAAGTTGCCAAACAACAGCCAAGAAACCGTAAGGAATTAGAGAAGAAGATCTGTAAAGAAGAGTGGACCAAAATCCCTCCTGAGATGTGTGCAAACCTAGTAACTAACTACAAGAAACGTCTCACCTCTCTGCTTGCCAACAAGGGTTCCTCCACCAAGTACTAAGTCATGTTTTGCTTGGGGATCAAATACTTATTTTACTCACTGAACTGCAACTCAATTTACAACATTTGTATCATGTTTTTTTTTCTGGATTTTTGGTTGATATTCTGTCTCTCTCAGAATACTATAGACCCTTCATTTCTTTGTAAGTGGGCAAATTTACAAAATCTGCAGGGGATAAAATAATTATTTTCCACACTGTATGTGAACAGGCACCATAGAAAGCAATGTAATTTCACACGCCCATGCGGATTGGATGCGGTTCAAACTACATCCAATCTGCATATATGTGAACTGGCTTTTAATGAGCAAACTGCAGAGTTCTTTCTATTGAGCATTAGTGAGTAAGGATGGGCTGTATTTTTGAGTCGAACATTAGTTCAACTCGAACATTGCCCATTCGTGTGTTTGGTGAACACACAAACAGCAAGGGCGTTCGGCGGGCTATTCGCCCGCCATGCTCCACAGTACACTGAGAGTGCTTTGTGATTGGCCAAAGCAATGCACCTGACCACAGATCAGGTGCAATGCTTTGGCCAATCACAGTGCATAATGATGTTACAAGGGGGTGACCCCACCCCCTTGTGACATCACACTATTTTAGAAACTGTCATCGCAGCTGTCAGATGGCGGGAGCCATCGTAGAGGGTTGTTTTTTTCTTTCAGTTCAGCGGTGGTGGCGGGCATCATGATTGACAATGGATCTACTTCAGAGGACATTTTTTTTTAATTTTTGTTTTTAGTAAAGGGCTTGTCAAAGACAGTCTACTGTCATTTCTCACACTACACCTTTTTTTGTGAATGGGTAGTGGTACCATGTACTTATTCACATGGGATGGCAGGATCCGGGGGTCCCCTTGCTAACCTCCCTAGTGGTATGATTATGTCCATATTTCTGTGCTCAAAACGGTACATTTTTTTGCATGGAATTATGTTGTTTTTTTTATTGTAGGCCTGTAATTTTCAGGAATAACTCACTGAAATCTGTCCGAACAAGAGCCTAGTAAACATCCCGGGTATGTTAAAATTTGAAACACGAAATCATAAATTATAATATAATAAATAATCCTAAAAAAATAATAATATAATAATAATAAATTTAATTCAATAATGTAACCAAACCAAAAACACTGAAATTTGAAATAGAGCGCCAAGTTCGCACATCACTGAGCAAAGTCGCAAAATCGTTTTCAGTGTCTGATGACGAATTTCCCCACAAATCATTATCACTCAATTCTGCAAGTAGTTCTGATTTACTATCACTGTTCTCTAGCTGGTCTAAAACTGCTTCTGACCTAAAGGGACGCTTTTTGGACGCCATGGATGTTTCTCAGTTTCCAGGCAGAAAGAACAGTAAAAATGCAGGCAGGGCACAGGACAAAGCACTAGGGACAAAATTTATGTGAAATGCTTTGATACAGTAATGTTTTACTATGTGATTTTAGTGTATTTAGTGAATATCATTTTTAACATTTTTGAATTTCCTGCCAGTTCCGTCCCCGTACGTCCCAACGCTCACAGGGAACAGAACCCGGAAGACGGATGCCGGCATCAGCCGGAGGAGATGGCCGGGGACGCTGCAGGGGGGACATCGCAAGATCGAAGAACAAGGTAAGTGCATGAGGGATCCCGGAGCAACGCTGCAGGGTAATCCCGAGTGTAGCTCAGGGTTACCGCTTTTGGTACTGAAAGTTTACCCCGAGCTACACTCGGGAATACCGCCAGGGAGGTTAAAGGGGGCTTCCAGATACTGATAAGCCCTGCGCCCACAGACCCCCACAAAGACCAGTCACAGTTGTGGGGAAGAGGCCCTTGTCCGCATCAACATGGGAACAAGGTGCTTTGGAGGGGAGCCGCCCTGCCCCAAAGCACACCCCACATGTTGAGGGCACGTGGCCTGGCATTTTGGCATGGGATTTCTCAAAATCTATACCAGGCCCGAAGGGCTTGGTATGGATGGGGGAGGGGGGACCCACGCTTTTTTTTTAAATTTTCTAATTGCCGGACACTGCCGGTGGTATTTGATCACCTGTGCATTTTTTATTTTTTGCGCTATAAACAAAAAAAGACTGACAATTTAAAAAAAAAAAAACAAGAATATTTTTTGACTTTTTGCTATAAAACATATCCAGTAAAAAAAAAAATTAAAAAAATAAAATTTCTTCATAAATTTAGGCCAAAATGTATGCAGCTACATGTCTTTGCTAAACGAAAAAATCCCAATACGTGTAAATTAATTGGTGTACGTGAAAGTTATAGTGTCTACAAATGGCAGTATATATACCAGAATTTCTATTTTTATTTATTTTTTACTAGTACGACTTATTGCGGGACTTCGGCTGGCATTCTGACACTAGGGGGAACTGATTAACTGCCACTGACACTAATACAGTGATCAGTGCTAATAAAAAGCACTGACACTGTACTAATGGCACTTGGCAGGAAGGGGTCAACATCTGGGGCGATCAAAAGGTTAACAGTGTTCTGTGTTGTGTGTTTTACATAGTGTGCTGTGTGATTTACTAGGGAGACAAGCTGCTTTGTATTGCTCTGCTTTGCAGAGAAATACACAGCAACATGTCCTTGCGGCGGGAGAGAGACCTGTGTTGTTTACATACAGACCTCTCCCCTGTCAGTTCCGTCGATGATCACCAAGTCCTGGCCAAGAATCGGTGGCCGGGACCCAATGATGGACATAAAGAGGAGCCAATAGCGGCATGGGTAGGGAGCGCATGTACGGGTTCGTGCGCCCCCTACCCGGAAAGACAAAATCACGTACATATATATATGTGTGATTTTGCCCTGTAGCAATACTTCTACTATAGGGCAGTCAGGAAGCAGTTAATAATAAGGCATTCTCTAAATAAAATAACACTGGTATACGCATTGTTATGCTTGTGTACTTTTATTCCTCAGAAGCTAAATAAGTGGTAAATTTACTCCATATTTCTTAAAGTGTATGCAAACTCTCACATAAAACAACCCATTAAGTTTAAAGTGAAATGAAAGGCAAAACATTTGTGTGTAGATATAAAAAAAAAAAAACATTATAAATACCCCCCTTTTTAATAAGTGATCACATAATCCCTTTTCTCAGGTGCATAAGGATCTTACAGAGCTGAGGGAGGAGAAATAGCTTTACACTGATCTTCCCAGTAGATGGCTTTGTGGAGGGGGGGGGGGGTAGTATTTACTAAAGCTGGAGAGTGCAAAATCAGGCTCATTCTGCATAGAAACCAATCAGCTTCTAATCTCAGCTTGTTCAATAAAGCTTTGGCAATAAAACCTGGAAGCTGATTGGTTTCTATGCAGAAGTGAGCCTGATTTTGCTCTGTCCATCTTTATTAAATAAACCCCTATGTTCTCCTGCCTAGTATGGTCATTTGTTAATAGGAAAGTAGCAGAGGGACTGGAGGGACTGGCAGGAACACCAGGGATTTCACACAAAGGAAGCAATACAAAGAGAACAGGAAACATTTTCATACAAGTACATGGTGCAACAGGAATATATCAGGAATGTGAAATGTTGGGTTTACATATTCTTAAAATACAGATCTGCTCTTTACTGTGCAATGCAATGTGCAGCTGGACATCGGAGATATATGTCTGCATATCCATTTCTCTGTTTTGACTTGTTTTTATTAATATGCTGCTGGTAGTTCTCTACCTCTCTTTGGCCTCATGCACACAGGGCTTACAACATACACTTATACATGCATTTTTTTCAAGCCTGTAAAAGCAGCTTTACATTTATAGGGGAAAAAAGGAACCAAAGGTGCATTCTGAGAGGAGCCTTTGAGCAGAAAAAAACACCCATACACACTGTGAGAACTAGCATCAAGGGTAGAGCTTTAAAGTACACAGGCACTTGCTTTCTTGTTCTTAAGGGCCGTTTTTGCCCAATTTTATTTAAAAGAATGTTCCACAAATCCAAGCACCATAGATTTCCCTCACAGAGGTTTTCAGCATTTCACTCTTCCAAACACAGATATTTACTCCTGACTTGTACCTACAATTCTGCTGCTCTGGCCTTCCACTTCAGGCTCACAGCTGTCTCCTGCAGACTCTTTCCTAAAAGGCTCCATACACAAAGCTAGCAGCCCCTTGCTGCTCTGACTCCCACTTCTTCTCAGTGGAGTCCTCCTGACTCCTGGGCAACAACCTCCTATCTGCCGGGGTGGAGCCCAGAATCATGGTTAGGCCTCTACAAAAAGGCCTGCACACACATGTGTAATCAGTGTGCTGGCTGTTCACAAACCCTGGACCCATAGCTAGAGATTTTAGAAAACAATGAGAAAACTGAAAATCCAGTTTCCTCTGCATTAGGCAAACCCCCTGGAGTCCCTCAACTTGTCTTGATGAGAATCCTGGGTTATAATCCTCATCAGGGGTGGACTGACAACTCATGGGCCCCCGGGCAATAGGGGATCATGGGGCCCCTGTGTCCTTGCCCAAACTCAAAAAAGCCTATGAAAAAGGTACCAGGGGCATCTCATGGGGCCCCCTACTGACCCCGGGCCCTCGGCAGTGCCCGAGTTTCCAAATGGTCAGTCCGCCCCTGATCCTCATTTAGACCCTGGCAGGGTACCGCACTGCCACAACATGTAAACGTGGCTGATTGTGGTTCGTGGAAGGAGTGAATATTCGTGGAAATGTATTCCAATGTCCAGAATAAATGAATATGCTGGCCAGAAAAATGTATTTACTCTCAAAGCCATACATGTACAAACGCATGCACATTTGTGCATAAAGCACATACATATTGTAACATTAGTGGTGGTTTTGTTTCTGCCAAATTCTGTCTGAAAAAATGCTGCTTATTTTCATAATTCTGTGTGCATGATACATTTGAAATAGCACTGTGTGCTGTGGAGGATCCTTCTTAGTCCCTCTCTCCATTGTGCCCTCTGGAACACAACTTACTAGATACCTGTACATTTTACAATTTAAAAAAAAAATGCAGACCCTCCCCCAACCTCCGCTACTGTATATCATATATCAGAAGGTGACCTCCCTCACCATCCATGGTCTATGCAACCCCAGTGAGTTTTTAGTCCTCCTCTTTGGTGGGCCTTGGCATACCAAAAATGTATGCCTTTTTCCATAGGCCCCAATCAAGTGGATTCTACTTGCAAATCTGCAATCATGTCTGTTTGCAAGCCTGCAGAGGATGTGGTACCCACTGGTGAGGAAGTGTACATAGAGACCGGGGTTTGCAGTGAAATGTATTAATTGGAAAGTCCCGAACAAAGCAGCAGAGTCTGTTAACACAACCAAACTGGCAAGCAGCATTTACAGAGAGTGGAGAAGAAAGTACTTGAAGTGATTGAGGATGCGGACAACATTTGCAACAAGGCACTTTTATGCAGAAAGGCTCTTTCTAAGAAACTGGCGAACAGTCCCTAGTCTGTCCTCCTCCTCAGGAACCTCTCCCTACACTAGGCACCCTGTCCCTATCCAGCAGTTATCTGGCTTAGCCACTATGGATATTAGCACTGCCCACACTAAAGATGGTTGCTCAGGTCATCCAGGGCATCAGCATCCAATCAGACAGCTGCCCACCTGATGACACCTATGCAGGCCTCAGAGGAACATGAGTTCTCCAATTCCTCAGCAGGCAGCAGCCGAAAAGCACCACCGTGCAGGAAGGCTAAACTGCAGCAGCCCACAGGTCTATGGAGAAGAACTACACATATTCATTACCCCACTGCATGCTTGCTCAGGAAGATGATTGCAAGATCCAGTGTAGGCCATATGGATGAAAGGGGTCTTCAACTGATCTCAGGTCTCAGGGTTATGCAGTATAGTTGAGATGTGGAGGGCGAGTTAAATGTATGGTTATCCTTTAATCATTCACTCCCCAGTGCTGACAGTAAATCCTAAACCATCCCCTGCTTTTTTTTCTGTTTCAATACGTTTATATGCAGAAATTTGCAAAAATGCATAACAAAAGGCACAATCAAAGCAAAGCATTGCACTTGATAAGGCACTTTACACTTGTTATCAATGAATAGGTGTGTCACATCTGTGTGCTACTTCTACATTAGTCTTCAGTAAGGAGCATCCTTTTTTCATTAAATTGTGAATAAAAAAACAACCAAAGAGAATAGAGTTAAAGAGGTATTAAACTCAAAATAAATAAATAATATATCTCTTAGATTGTAAGCTCCAACCATCTTGTATTGAACTGTATTGTCTCCCGTTATTGTTAATATTATTATTTCAGGTACTTGTATAGCGCCGTCAATTTGCACAGCGCTTTACATATATATTGTACATTCACATCAGTCCCTAATCCTCAAGGGGCATACAATCTAAGGTCCCTAACTTACATTCATACATACACATACTAGGGCCAATTTAGACAGGATCCAATTCACCTACCAGCATGTCTTTGGAATGTGGGAGGAAACCGGAGTT